CAATCCCCAGCACCACCAAAAAAAAAAAAAAAAAAAAAAGCAATGTAAAAAATTGAAAATCAAAAGAAAAAAAAAAACAATTGAAGATCTAAGAAGAAATATCAGAAGATTCAGTCCAGTCTTGCTTTTACTGTATGTAACTCACTTTTTTGGTGTTCATTCACATAATGAGACACACATACAAGCACTTAAGCATCAAAGTTTAGAAAACTATCCTGTCAGTTCTCATATTACGAATATAAAGGTGGCAAAATTACACACACTCAGTTTGTCTGAGTTAATTTTTATTTCCAAGCAGTAGTGATTAACTTTCCATGAAGTAAAATATAATGTTAGCCTGCAGGGGGAAAAATAATCAAAGTTCACATTAGCTATGCTATTAATTCACCTACAAAATTTTGATGAGCCTTTTGAATATGCTAATTTCATAAGATTGTCCCACCTCAAAATAGGAATAAAATATAAGAATGGAGACAAAAAGTTTCCAAAATCCAAATTTCTTTGTTTAATAAATTCTGGAAGTTGGTTCTCCTTTTTTGCCTGGCCATGAATGAGAAAAAAAAGTGTAATATAGATCAAGACATTTCATTCCCAATAGTTTTGGGCTTCTTAGGACTCCAGTTTGTGGTTAGGATTAGTTGATTCAATTATATTCAACAAATATTCTTCAACTATGAGAAAAACAAAAATGAACCAAATATAGTCTCTGCCCTCCAGGAACTCACAGTTTTACAGGGCATAAAAATAAATCATGTTGGAAATAGATGCATGTACAAATGTGAACAAAATGCTCTTGGAATACAAGAGGAGAGAATAAAAAGTGGGTTCACAAATCAATTATAAAACTGTTGAACAAAAGAAAAAAAAAGGAGGTGATAGTCAAGTTAGATCTAAAACAACAGCCATGATGTTTAAAGGTAAAAAGTAAAAGCTTGCAGGATGTAAGTTAAAGAAATCCTGTGAAAACACATACAAAGACAAAGGTAAGATGGGACCAACTTGCAGATTCAATGGCTCAGAAGAGGATAGGGGAGGCAGCATTAGTGTAGATGCATCTGAAAAGCCAAGTTAGGACAGGAGAAGTGGCACAAGCCTGTAATCCCAGTGACTTGGGAGGCTAAGGAGGAGTATCACCAGTTCATAAACCAGCCTCAGCAATTTAGCAAGGCCTTTAGCAACTTAGTGATACCCTCTCTGAAACCTGAAAAATAAAAAGGGCTGGGATATATGTGACTCAGTGGTTAAGTGCCCCTGGGTACAATCCCCAGTACCAAAAAAAAAAAAGCCAAGTTGGGTCCAGATTTAGGGGACAAAGTTTTGGGATTCACTGACATTGGCTCTAGGGTGCTAAGAAAGATAGCAATGTATGGGCTGGGATTGTGGCTCAGTGGTAGAGTGCTCGCGTAGCATGCATGAAACACTGGGTTCGATCCTCAGCACCACATAGAAATAAAATAAAGATATTGTGTCTACCTAAAACTAAGAAACAGATATTTAAAAAAAAAAAAAAGAAAGATAGCTGGGGTTGTAGCTCTGTGGTAGAGCGCTTGCTTCACATGTGTGAGTCACTGTGTTTGATTCTCAGCACCACATATAAGTAAATGAATAAAATAAAGGCCTATCAACAACTAAAAAAATATTTTTTAAAAAACAGAAAGATAGCAATGTGAGAATGGCTTTGGCATAAATGCCAAGGAGAAGGACAATGGAAGTTAGAGAGCACTCAATGACAGTGAGCCCTTCTAATCAAGGGATCTTGGACAGGT